GCCGGCAGGACGGGCCTGGCCTTCTTTGTTGACTTTTAAGTCTTGGGCTCAACAGCTTCATTCGCCAGGAGGGGAGAAGGCCCACACAATGAGGGACTAACTGCACCGTCACCTCGAGATGCTTTGGTCCTGCTCGGCCCTCCTTCCCGGCAACCGGCCGCCCGGCCCGGCCAGAGGCGGCCGCAAACCCAGGGAGAAGCCCCGAGGCGAGACCCGCCATTCTAGCTCCAGGCAGGCCCCCAAAGTGGCCGCGAGCCTGAAGCCCGAGGCTTCTCGCCCCGAAGCCCGTAGAAAGTTTCCGCCCAGGAGGAGAGCGAGCTGAGCCGACTTCCCACCGGGGTGCGGGCAGAACGTAGACCCTGTACCGCAGAGAGAGGGCGGGGAGCTGCACGGAGGGGACGCTCGCAAACGGTTTAGATTCCGTGCGGCCGGATAAAATCCCGAGGCCCAAGCTCACCCTTATATTACATTTGGAATTCAAATTTGCCAACGTCTGTTTACCCGCTCTCTAAATATAAATACATGTTGGGATTGAAAGCTTTATCCTCTTTGGACCTTTAGTGTCCTTCCCCGGCCTCCAAATTAGGTTTTGAAATTACTCAAACCAGCAATTTCCCTCTCCTCCTTTCTTTAGCTGAGGTGAGAGCGGGGGTTTTGGGATTTCTGGATTTTTCTCAAGTGCTGCATGGCACCCCTTCTCTCATCTGGGGAGGCAATTACTCGACAATTAAGGGACTCACACAGCTCTTTTTATCTTGTCCTCTGTGTGGAGTGGGGCGATCAAAGTAAAGGCTGTCCAAGTTCAAGCCCTGGCCACGATGGGGTTCACACACAAGGCCTCAGGCAGGCCAGCCTCTGCTTGGGCTGGTGTTGTTATTGTTGATGTCAATCCTAACAAGGCTTACAAAGAAATAGGTGGACTGGAAAGTGAGCCTACTATCAAAGGAGATTAATGATTTGGTGATCTCAAGCAACTGTAGGGGTGTGAAGTTGCATTTTAAAGCTTCTTAGAAGGCAAAGAAATCATCGGCTTTAAGTTCTCGGGAACGATATTTTTTAGAAACAATATTTTAAAAATATCTTCACACAAAACAAAACAGCAGCTAGTGAAACGGCCTGCTGGCACAAAGCTTCCCCTGCAGGAGTGAATTAGCTGGCCTTCCTTGTCCCCTGCAAAGCTACCATGATGGTTAAGTTTTGTTTCTCTTTTTAATGTAAAGAGGATTCAGGATTCTCTGTTGCAGACAACTTAATTTTAACAGCCCCATCTGATATTTTATTTTCATTCAAATACTTTTCAGATAAAGGAAAATGGTATCTTGGGAAGGAGGGAAGGTTAAATTAATTGTATTTATTTCAGTTTATTTAATTGTGTATTTAATTTCAAAGAGGTCCATGATCCACTGGTAGATCTCAAAGGAAACATAGTAGGTTTAAGCCCATGTCAAAAATTGAAGTAAACATTACTGAAAATAAAGAATCTTAATCTCAATTCTTGGAATATTAAATCAATTTATCTATCCAGTTTTATTGAACTTCTTTAACCTTTTTTTTTTACTAACTACATGTTCCTATAATAAACATACACAAAACAATTTTGTTTTAGATTATTTTCCTTTTTGTCACTTATATTCAGTGCCAGACTTTGAAAAATATCATATTCAGATATCTATTTTGGATTTAATTAAGGAAAATAACAAAAATACTTTTTGTTAACATTTGATTTATTTAAAGTCCTTAACTGCAAATGATCAAGAACATGTGCCACGGCTTAAAATTTATTTTCATTATTTAAATCAAAATATTTTAATTACAATCACATTGATAGAAATTAACATTTTAATTTGTATCTTTAACCATCATTTAAAGCAATTTCAACTGTAAAGAAAAAAAGAGTAAACCATGCAATAAATTAACATTGAGAAAGCAAAAAGGAATAATAATGAAACCCGTCTGACTATACTAACACCATGTCCAACTGTGAAAAGTGCATTAACACTGAATGAACAAGCACACGATGACAATAATTAAAATTACCACAATCAATTGGATTTTGGAATCTTGAACCAAATTTTGAAATATGGCTCCCTATAACATCTCTCCTCGAACATTGTAATATTCCCTTTTTTTCTGGAGAAAAATATTCTTTAAATGGTATAGATACATAGAAGCTAATTTTATACATGTTATCTGACCTCAGAATGACATGACCATGGTACTCTGCAAAGTAAGAAGCAGCGTCACTGAGAGGGACAATTCTTGGGGAATTGATTCCCAGGGCTATCTGTGGGTAGAGAGGACAAGGAGGGGGTGTGTTTGTAATTTCTTGGTCAGGCAACTCTTGAAAATGTAGCATGTATACCACCTACCTAGTACCTCTATGCGTTATGTAAATATATGGAGGATGTCTACATATCTGAGCATGTGCATAAATGTCGGTACATAATACATTGTATTTCATTTTTAAGTATTTCATTTTAAGACAGCTGCTATCTGAATGTATCAGAAATGTAAGCTGAAAAACAAATGGCTCTGATGTTTATAATCTGTTTATGTTTTGCTACATAATAGCAGTATTGTCCTTCAATACTTTTAACAGCCCATAGTGTCTACTTGCTTCCTCACTCTTTGAGTTCTTATGGTTAAGAGTATTGCCATAGACCTGTAAACTTGTGTGTAGTGTGTGTGTGGGGGGGGTGGGGGGAGGTAGAGGAAGAGGAGGGTCAGGTGAAGAGGGAAAAAAAGTACAAACAAATATTTTACAAGCTTGACCATCTTTCTTTCTTTTTTAAATAAAGCCTGCACACACTAGAATGTGTCTGGATGGGAAAGAGGAAAGAAAGGGATAAGGAAGTAGGAATATTTGATATATACACTTGTGGATCATTAAACTTTGCAGGGAAAAATTCAGTTGGTTTGGGGTCGGTTTTCTTCCTACTGATATACACAGGCATTTGAATAACAACAAAGTAACAGTCCTTTGCACTGGGAAAAAGATTGTGCACACACACACAAAAAAAGAAATAAAAATAGTTGGTATTTTATTCTGCTGTCGTCAGCTTGGTATGTATGGTTTTGTTTGCTGCTGTTTTCCCCCTCTCCCGCTACCAGCATGGTCACGACAAACAAACCCCTAGTCTAGGACAGCTAGGAAGTGTTTAGGACAGGTCTGGAATACACACCTTGGTAGTAGGCCGGCTCCAGGGCTGAGGGCTCAATGGGGCTCCTGGTGGCCACCGAGGTGCTGCCCAGTTGCAGGCCGGCAGGCAATGAGGCGCTGTAGGGTGAGTACTGTAGCGCCTGCTCATATGCCTTGAAGTCCAGCTTGTGCTGCTGATCCGAGGACATGAGGTTGTTGATGGAGAAGGGGTGGTTGAAGGAGTAGTGGGGGTCCCCTTTCAGGTGGAGCTGGGACTCGTGGGGTGCCAGACCATGCACTGGGTGGGAGGGGGGCACAGATACCAGAGCCCCAGGCCCGGAGCTGATCGGGGGCGCAGCTGAGGAGGCTGGAGTCTTCAACTCCGAGGCGCCCCCTGTCGCCGTCGCCCCGCTGTGGTCCAGAGTCTGGGGGCTGGCAGTGGGCCCCGGGGCCGGTGCGCCCTCTAGCTGGCCGGCCTTACCGTGAACCCCTCGATGAAGGGGTGAGTCCCCGCTGCTGTTGGCCGAGGCCGAGGGGTCCTTTCGGCTAAAGCGCTTCTGGCGGCGCAGGTAACAGCCGTTTTCAAACATGTTGCCGGAGTCCGGGTGCAGCGTCCAGTAGGAGCCCTTGCCCGGCTTGTCGGGGGAGCGCGCCACTTTGACGAAGCAGTCGTTGAAGGACAGCGAGTGGCGGATGGAGTTCTGCCAGCGCTGCTGGTTCTCCCGGTAGTAGGGGAAGAGGTCCATGATCCACTGGTAGATCTCGCTCAGGGTCAGCATCTTGCCGGGCGCCTGCTGGATGGCCATGGTGATGAGCGAGATGTAGGAGTAGGGCGGCTTGGCATGAGGGTAGCTGCGCTTGAAAGTCTTGGCGTCGCCACTGCCCCCGGCCCGGCTGCGGCCCAGGTTGGACGGCGCGTAGGCCATGGGGCTCATGCAGGGG